TGTTAAACATTACTGCCAGATAGGAACCCAGTGTTTGCACACAGTTGAAGTGTACAGGAACCACTTGAGCCGTGCTTTCGCTGACAGGCTCAAGGACCCAGACACACCAGTGCAGTACAAGGAAAAGTGTGCTGCAGTGCTTTGGGGTAGGAACGTTTAGTGAACCCCGAATTTTAACAATTTATAGGGTTTCACACCCACCCACTCCTTTTAGGGTTCAGCCTTTCGCACTTTTAGGGTTCAGGCTTTCACCGGGCCCGCTCACTCATTTCAGGGTTTAGGGTTTCGCACCGACCCACTCCTTTTAGGGTTCGGGGTTTCGCAGACACCCACTCCTTTTAGGGTTTAAGGCTTCGCATCCATCCACTCCTTTAAGGTTCAGGATTCGCACCGACCCACTCCTTTAAGGGTCCCACTCTTTTCAGGGTTCAGGGCTTCGCATTTAGGGTTTGGGCTTCGCACCCACCCACTCCTTTTAGGGTCCAGGGTTTCGCATTTGGGGTTAGGGTTGCGCACCGACCCATTCTTTTTAGGGTTTCAGGGTTTATTCGCGCCCACCCACTCCTTTTAGGGTTCAGGGTTTCGCATTTAGGGTTCAGGGTTTCGCACCGACCTACTTTGCAGGCACCCAATTTTTTTGGGGTTCAGGGTTTCGCACCCGCCCACTTCCTCTAGGGTTTAGGGCTTCGATCGCACCCACCCACTCCGTTTAGGGTTCAGGGTTTCGCACTTAGGGTACAGGATTTCGGACCGACCCACTCCTTTTAGGGTTCAGGGTTTCGCACCCGCCCAGGGCTTCGCATTTAGGGTTCAGGGTTTCGCACCCACCCACTCTTTTTAGGGTTCAGGGTTTCGCACCCGCGCACTCCTTTTAGGGTTATAGGGTTTCGCACCCACCCACTCCTTTTAAGGTTCAGGGTGTCGCATTTAGGGTTGAGGGTTTCGCACCGACCCACTCCTTTTAGGGTTCAGGGTTTCGCACCCGCGCGATCTTTTTAGGGTTTAGGGTTTCGCACCCACCCACTCAGGCTTTCGCATTTAGGGTTTAGGGTTTCGCACCGACCCACTCCTTTTAGGGTTCAGGGTTTCGCACCCACCCACTGCTTTTAGGGTTTAGGGTTTCGCACCCGCCCTTCTTTTTAGGGTTTAGGGCTTCGCACCCACCCACTCCTCTTAGGGTTCAAGGCTTCGCATTCAGGCCGGGTTCAGGGTTTCACACCCACCCACTCCTTCTAGAGTTCAAGGTTTCGCACCCGCGCACTCCTTTGAGCAGGGTTTCGCATTTAGGGTTCAGGGTTTCGCACCCACCCACTCCTTTTGGGGTTCAGGGTTTCGCACCCACCCACTCCTTTTAGGGTTCATGGTTTCGCACCGGGCCCGCTCATTCCTTTTAGGGTTTAGGGCTTCGCACCGACCAACTCTTTTGAGGGTTCGGGGCTTCGCACACACCCATTCCTTTTAGGGTTTAAGGCTTCGCACCCACCCACTCCTCTAGGGTTCAGGGTTTGGCATTTAGGATTTGGGGTTTCGTACGACCCACTCCTTTAAGGGTTCAGGGTTTCGCACCCGCCACCCACTCCTTTTAGGGTTCAGGGTTTCGCATTTAGGGTTTAGGGCTTCGCACCCGGGCGCACTCCTTTTAGGGTTCAGGGTTTCGCATTTAGGGTTTAGGGTTTGATCCGCACCGACCCATTCATTTTAGGGTTTCAGGGTTTCGCGCCCACCCACTCCTTTTAGGGTTCAGCATTTCGCATTAATTTAGTGTGTAGGGTTTGGCACCCACGCATTTTTTTAGGGTTCAGGGTTTCGCATTTATAGGGTTTAGATTTTCGCACCGACTTACTCCTTTTAGGGTTCAGGGTTTCGCACCCACCCACTTCGCACCCACCCACTCCTTTTAGGGTTCAGGGTTTCGCACCCGCCCACTTCTTTTAGGGTTTAGGGCTTCGATCGCACCCACCCATTCCTTGTAGGGTCGCATTTAGGGTTCAGGGTTTCGCACGGACCCACCTTTTTTAGGGTTCAGGGCGTCGCACCCGCCCAGGGCTTCGCATTTAGGGTTTAGGGTTTCGCACCCGTTCACTCCTTTTAGGGTTTAGGCTTTCGCACCCACCCACTCCTTTTAAGGTTCAGGGCCTCGCATTTAGGGTTTAAGGCTCCGCACCGACCCACTCCTTCTAGGGTTTAGGGTTTCGCACCCACCCACTCAGGGTTTCGCATTTAGGGTTTAGGGTTTCGCACCCACCCACTCCTTTTAATGTTCAGGGTTTCGCACCCGCTCATTCCTTTTAGGGTTTAGGGTTTCGCACCCACCCACTCCTTTTAGGGTTCAGGGTTTCGCATTTAGGGTTCAGGGTTTCGCACCGAGGGTTTCAGGGTTCGGCAGCCATTCATTCCTTTTACGGTTCAGGGGTTTCGGGTTTCGCAAACCATCACGCCTTTTAGGGTTTAGGGTTCCGCACCCACCCACTCCTTTTAGGGTTTGCAGGCGCTTTGCCGAGGCTTGCACTCCTGTTGCTTCCACCAGTCTTAAAACAACCCCGCCAAAGTTCGCAGTGCTTTGCTTTGTAGCAGCTAGCTAAACTAGAAGAGTTGGCTGTTGTGACAAAGTAGAATTACTCGTGCACTACTACTGTACTACAACTGTACTGCTACAGTACTACTACTGTACTGCTACGGTACTACCACAGTACTACTACTGTACTACTATACTTTGTACTACTACTGTATTGCTGTACTATTACTGTACTGCTGTACTACTGTACTACCGTACTACTGTATTACTAGTGTACGACTACTGAACTACTGCTGTACTACAAATGTACTACAAACGTGCTACTGCTGTGCTGCTGTAGCATTACTGTACTGCTGTGCTATAACTGGCTATAACTGTACGGGACTGTAGGCTGGAGGCAAAACTTCTCACAATGAAAAGTTTTATGTGTTGGCAGTTATGCTGGGGTGACCGGGGCTTTGTTTCGAGTTATTGGTGATCCACAAGCCCGTCCGCCTAAACAGCTCACGGTATCTGTAAAAGGGGTGTAGGGGTTAAGGTTTTAGGGTTTAGGGTGCAGGGTAGGGTTTAGGGAGAGCTTCGGGCTTCGAAGAACAAAATTGTGGGTGCCTTGAGATTGACCTTTAGCAGAAAGGAAGCAAACTCAAAAGAAATAGAGACCCTCCCAAATGTTTGGCACCGGCCTCAATAAGCAAGAAGCATTATGGAGACCCACCGGTTTAAGAAAAGGGACCCACCACATTATTGTTGATGGTTATACGTATGATCTTATGGATTGCACGGCTGGAAACATACTCCAATAGGTTGTAAGCCGAAAAGCCAATCAATTTTATGGTTTTGGAAGATGCTTTTGCTTCTCGTTTCAAAAGCTTTAAAAATGTGTGTTGTAATTCACGCGAACCCTGTTACCCCTAGCTGTGATAGAAATGTGATTGTGCGCTAGTCGCGACTTGCATGCCCTTCTGACATGCTACCTTTCAAAGTTTTTGGCTCAACGTCATGTCGAAGACGGTCCAATATACAGAAGGTTCCAAGCTTTTCCGGCTTCGATTTGTGTGGGCGAAAGCATTGGCCCATACACAGATGTAGCGTGTTTATCAACAACTAACATATTGTTGGGTACACGTGATGGCCAGCTTTTCGACAAAGGCCGGTGGAGTGGGTGAAGTTTGCCGTCCCCGCGCTTTTGCATTCCTTGGGGCAGTTGACACGGCAGAAAATCACCATGTCTCAAGCGAGATGTCCCTTCGGCTTATTCGGAAGCCGTTCAATTTTTGTCAGTTTTGAAGCAGGCCATGTTGAGTCAACAACAGCTGCCTGCATCTCCATCGCCGTCTGCAACTGCTAAGGCCCACTTGTGACGACATGCATTTCTTGCACACTTCGTGTTCTTGAAAGGCATTGCTAGAGCCAGTGGTCGAGGGGACCGACTTCCGACGTACAGCTGACGTTTTGCTGTAGGCAAGCCGGCGGGCAGTTTTCGGGCATGGGATGTCGCAGGATTCGATTGGGCGGCCTCGTGGAAGTCTTTGGCCTTTCAGCGGCTGAGCTTCAGGCATCCAAGTCATCGTTTGGTATGATTGCATTTGCAGCAACGTTCACGGTGTATCCGTTACATGAAGGCTTTCAACGAGGACATTAACGGTTCCATCGGACAGGCCTCGCAAGCCGTGGCGTCAGCGTTGGATGGCGATTCCCTCTGCACTTTCCAAGGCAGTGAGCTATGATAGTGCAACTGACAAGTTCCATGTGTACCTCAGCTGCGGTGCTGTGGTAAGCTCAGCTCACGGTAGCATTATGGTGACGATCTTCCCCATGCTCCGCAAATCTGTGCGAGCGTGCACCAAATCCTTGACCACAAGGCCGGACACTTCCATTCCAAAAACGTCAAGGCTGCAGAGGCTGTCATTCTCATCAGGGCAGGTAAGATTTTGTATCTGCTATCTCTTGCAGGCTCGTGCACAACAGATTATTGGCACCCAATGCTTACGGCGAGATTCGCCAGCTGTTTTCTATGTCCAGCCCGGAAGGCGCCACGGCGGCCAGGTGAAGGCGGTTCACCTGAGAGCTTTGACGCGTTGGCCTTTGGCTATCAGGCTATCAGGTGTCCGTTGATTGCGGAGCACACCTAACATAGGTTGGAGGTTCTGTGGTATCTGTACACCCAGGTGCTGGTCGGACCTCGAACAGATGGGAAAATCATGGGCGGCGAAATATCGACCTGTCTGATGGAGTCGCTTGTGCACATTGATGCCCCACTGATGGTGAGTACGAATGCTGGCTTTCCGCAGTTCGATTTGCCAGGAAGGGCTTCTGCGTTTTGCGGATATGTCAAAGCCTGGACCATAGAGAATGATGTCATCTCAGCGACTATGCTTCTTCTTCAGAGATTTCTGAGATTGCTGTTGCGAGGTGCCAGACTAGCACAGCAGGCTTTGCTGAGAATGAAGGCGCTCCGGTCATTGTGCGTACATCTTTGATTTCAGAAGCATTTATTGCAGGATCTTGGAAGCATGAATAGACTGTTGGCCGCTCAGCAAGCAGCAAACAATTTCTCTCCATCCTTGACGCAGCACAGGTCGCGTTTCCCCGAGGAGGTGGAGCAGGGCTACCTAGGTTTGGGCCTGGGATTGCAACATGCGAACGTGCGTGTTGCTCAGTGCAAGAAGCCGAGGCTTTAGCTGTCGAGGACGGGTTGCCTGGCTGGACTCGGCCACAGACCTGGACCAGGAAGGGATGCAGTTCTCACGCCAGCCCCAGTAGAATTTGATCGGCAAATGTGAGCAGGATCCAGCCTTGAAAAGCAACGATGCCAACCTCTCTTACCTGGCACAGGCCTTTGGTTGTCCCTCGGACCTTCTTTCTGAGCAATGCTGGAACAGCTTGTTCCGGAGCCGTCGATAAACAAGTGGCCCGTCAGTCCATTCAACCGTATGCCGGCGACGTGTTGGATGGCCAGCTTGACTCACGGACACCTGGTCTCGCTTTTGACTCAGCAATTATTCCAGGAGGTCTGCTTGCACCGGCTCTGATGTCATCCATACTCGAGTGGAAACAAGGTTTGCCTCACCATCGATGGCGCTACTGATTCCGAGTATCCATGTCCGGAGGCCTGCACAGATCTGCCCCAAATGTTCGCCGAATGGTTCAAGCGCACGTCTTGCGATGCAGGCCAACGACGAGTCCTTGGGAAGTTTTCTGCAAACTTGGAGGCCGCAGCTTCCATGACAGGTTGGTGCAGCTTGCCAGTTGAGCTAGTCGTGCATTTTCAGGCGCAGCTTGGTCAGAGCTGTGCATTTCATGGGGCAGCAGTCTTAGAATCACACAATCTCTGCCATCATTGGGGGACCTGGAAGACCTAGGCCATTTCCGTCCGAAGTGGAGCTGGATGCACGTGAAACGCCCAAAGCTGGCAAGGTTTCCCTGGAATCTCGCAAGCACCCCGTTGAAGACATGGACTTCATGGGAGGTTCCCGGTTTGATTGAGAACATGAAGATCACAGCTGCGCCAAACACTGTTCTGTTCGCAGCCCAGGGTCCGTCTTGCTGAATTGCAAAGTGCTTCGACATCAGTCTGCTGTGAGGTTGTTCAGACCCGATGTCTACGACTACACCTGTGATCTGACATGTTTGGGTCAGTTCAGGGAACAGTTCAGGGCAGTTTCGAGCAGAGGACGCGGGTCAGAGAGTTTTGGGACGGTCCTCGCCAGACTTTGTGGATGTACATTCACACCTTGATGCGGATCTTCTGCTCCGGTTGGTTTGTGTGAGTTGCGAAGCGACGCCGAGGAGGGGGATACTTGTGCTCTTTCGCTTCGAGTAGTGCAGCTACCTTTACTTGCACTTCTTGGCAGCGGCAACACTGGGAAAGGATCACTGAGATTTAGTCTAGTAGGCTAGCCTGGCAGGATTTTGCTTGCACGATGTCTGCCAGGTGCAGCACCAAAAGACACATTGATGCTGATCACAAACTTCCTGGCTGCCGTGCCCGATATGGTAAGCCCAACTTCTCGTAGAATGACATGCCGTCACTCTTGCTTCACGGAGGTCTTCGGTGATATCCAGGGGGACACAGACTGGCTTATGAAAGAGGAGGGTCCCCCTCCGCCGGTTGGCAGTGAGCATATCCATGCGCGACGCTTGATTTTTGTCAGACTTCCAAATTTGTCTTCGTTCATGCCCCGTCACACAGTGTTGATGGAACACCTTGTATGCCCGGGACGAGGTCATGAACACGGTTGCCCGCCTGCCTGGCAACGCTGACAGCAAGGGGCTTATGAGAAGCATCGAGTTTGGGGGGTTCGTGCTTCGGGCTGAACATGGACGATCTCCTAAGCCTTCATGCCCCAAACCCCAAGACCACAAAGCCTCAGCCGACCTGCACAGAGGTATGTATTTTTGTGTCCATGTGCTTGTGTTGTGTATCTCGGTGTGTGTTGTGCGAAACGACTTCATTTCGCTTTTTGGCAAGCACGCACGCACATCCGATTTCTACCTGTCAACGTTCCACGCACAAAACTCCTTGATGTGTGTAATGGACGACATCAGCCAAGACGCCTACTTGTGCTTAGCGAGTGGCTTTCATGCTCGCAAGTGCCAGTGCTCAATCCTTTCGGGGATGCTCGCAATCACAATGTGTCTCCTTGCCAGCCTTTTCAGGCTTTTGTTCATCCCGACCGTTTCTTTAAATCGTATTTGCGTCTCGCCGGCATGGAGTCAAAGAGAGACACAGAGAGTGCAAGCAGGCAGGCACGGAAGCCTCGATGATCCAATGTAGCTGTGTGTTTGAGCAAGGTGTCGTTTGCGCCAAGGATCTGTGGTTTTTTTGCCATAGAAGATTTGGGGGGGCATGTCGTGGGGCATCCACCTAGTTCATGCAGCTCGGAAGACCAGTGCAGCCATTGAGCAACCATCCAATGCAGGAATTTTTGGCGCTGTTTGTTGCCACGGGCTGCACTGCGGAACAAGCTGCTAGCACCGACTGAATCACATCACAGGAGGGACGAACCTGTGCCGGCACTTGTGCGCGACAGCAGCTTTCCAGCAGGCCAGCAAGCAGGCAAGCAGGCAGGAGCGAAAGACGGAGAGAGTGAGCCCAACCTCTACAGAGGCGTGGAACTCATTCTCAGTTGGTGTTCTTGTGGAAACTGCCCCCAGGCCATGTTGAATGAATGCACTGACAACAGAGCAGACCTGCAATAAATCTGCATACGGGTGCCATCCACCGGGGGCGAGACTGTGATTGCGAAGTGGCTAGACTCGACTAGACTTCCGAAGCCCATGGTGAATGGATTCCGCCGCTTGGCGTTTTCGGCTGCGGGCTTGGGTATTAAGCAACAAAGGCCCCTGACTTCTCAATCCAGCACAGAGCGATTCCTGCTTGCTACATTATAACACAAATATCTGGAAAGCTGAACGCAACGTTTTGCTCCAAATCAAGGGTGTTCACACTCGAACCTTCCAGCCTTCATCCTCTCAAACTTTCTACTGTGTGCTCCCCCAACGTCCAAGCCCTCAAGCGTCGAAGCGTTCGATCTGGTGAATCTCTAAAGCTTTCAACCTGGATCACTGGAAAGTCAAAGCACTCCATCTTACCTTCAGGCTCTTGAGCTCGAGCGCCTTTTCAAGCTTTAAAGCTTAAGCCTCGGAGGCCTCCTGTGGACCCGCGCCCTCAACCCGGTACGGGCTTCAAGCTTCCAGGTTCAACTTCCCATAAACCCAAGCCGAAAAATGCCGACTCTTTCGCCTGTCAATCTAAGAAACGATCGAGCTTTCGCAATCTTTCGAACTCAGATTTTGCGTTATCGAAGCTGTTCGAACTTTCCACCTCACTCGTGCACGCTCGTGACACCTGTTGCCGGTGTAGTTTCACAACCGCCAGCAATGGCAGTAAGAGTGGCACGAATACTCACGGCAGCTCTGACCGTAAAGGCAAGTAAACAGCACTTTGCGGGCACGAGGCGGCTCGCTCCTTTCGCAGCTTGAGGTAGCTTTCATTGTCCTTGACCACTCAAGCAGAGCTTGACCCCTGCACCATGCTGTGGATTCCGACTCTCGGTGCGGAGTCGCCTTTAAAAGACACAAGCAAAGACTTTTGAGGCCAGTGGCACAACTGGGCCGCGTTGAAGTCTGGCACAGACACCATCATTCAGATCCCGATCACACGTACCGATCTTAGTGCGTCTCCTCGTGTCGAAGACTCTGATGCCTGATGCTGTCTTGCGATGGTGCAGGTTGGGATGTCAGCGTGTATTGGACTCCAGATGAGAATGTCTTTGAGGCCTGGCAGACTACGTGCATGCCTCAGCAGCCTGTGCACATGTCTTCCGTCGGGAACGTCCTCGTCTGTGGGCGCATAAGTTGAAACTTTCTGCACATGGCCGGCAATGTTCGTCTCACGCGGCAAGATGAATATCAAAGCTGCATGCAGCAGATGTCAGTGATGAAAGATGCCTTCGTGGCACCGGCAAAGAGTCCCGCTGCTTCAGCAGTCTGTGGCACGGGTGCTTCTGGGCTTCCGACGCAGGGTCTTCCGGATGTCTTGGCATCTTCGCAGTGGATGCATCAGTTTGGTCGAAGATGGGCTGCCGAGATAGGTTTCTCAGCATCTGTCCCATAGACAAAGGTTTAGCAACATGAGCAGAGTCTGTGCATCATGAGGACCCGCCACCAGTCCTACTGCGAGGGTGCCGAGTTTTTCGACAATCGATACTTCGAGATCTCCAACAATGAGGTTGCTGTAAAGTTTTGAGAGTTGATTTTTGCTGGCTTCAACCCGAGCTTGGCTTGCCCGGACAGGCCAACTCTATGGACCCTGTTCAGCGGCTGGTTCTGGAATGCCTGTTACACAGCCCGGGGTGCTGAAAGAGCAGACAACCGTCAATGAAGACTAAAGTCGGCTTTGCGGAGGGCGCTTGGGTTTTACGTTCTGCCTTGAGGCGGTGCTCAGAGCATGGCCATGATCGGCTTGACGAAGAAGGTCGGATTGTTTGATCCGTGCTACAGGATGACATCGCATGCAGACGGCGAACGAGGAGTGTAATCGAAAAGCCACGCACGCCGGTTTCTGCGTGGGCAACGACAAGCTCGTATGTTGCTCAGTCGCCGTCCGTGCGTCGACACGCGCACATACGATCTGAGTGCCGAGGACTGGATGACTTGCGATAAGGAGGTCGTCCCTTCGGGGACCAGCACTGCCCGGGGTCCAAGCGGCAGCGAGTCTCTTGTGACAGCTGCTCGAATCAACTGCGCCGTTATCTTACAAGGTCTTGGCGATCATTGCAAATCGCTTCAGCTTCGTTTTCAACCTCAAAGGTCCGCAACAAAGAAGTTCGCTTCGTGAGAAGAGAGAACTGTGCTTGTTCCGCTCCGCCGAGGTCCGAACTTCGTCTGCGACACTGCATGCTCAGCTTCCCTGACATCGACGTCAGAACCTCGATATTGATGACAAGACTGGTTGCGGTTTGCTCAAACCAGCCTCTGCAGGCATTGTGCCAGATTCATGATCAGCCGCAAGCTCAGCAGTCATGCAAGCACAGGACAAGGGGAAAACCCTGCCTGGTTTCGCAAGTCTCGGCATGGCTTGCATAGGCAATCAGAAGTTCGATCCACTGGAATTCTTCATCTCGATGGGTGCTCGGCATGCATTGAGGAGAGAAGTCGGGGAGTTCTGATGACATGAATCGTTTATCTTGTGCAGGTGCCCACTTGTGCCTCTCTCCTGGCCCATTCATCGGCTGCTCACAGTCCCACATGCCGAGCACCAATCAAAGGAGTCCATGTTCGATGGAGTATCGGCAACGCATGGTGCAATCCAAGGTCTAGTCCGAAGGGACGCTGCTTCACCTTCAACTCATCTGCAGATGGAGCGGAACCCAGGGGAAGATCGTATAGGTAGACCTACAAGAATTGAAATGCTGAATTGGTGTCGCCGCAAGCCGTCTCTTGACATACCGCGCTCACCAATGCAGCTCTGTCTCTGTGTGTGTGTGTGTGTGTGTGTGTGTCTGTGTGTGCACCATGCCGTGAGTTGTGATGTGGCACATCGTGTGCCAGCTGTACATGCGGCACCGCGCAGCCGACAGGATATCTGCGAGGAGAGGGAGTCAGTGCGGACCCTTGTTCAGTATCGTTGCGATGCAAAAGGTCATCACTTTGTTTGCCATCAGGTGGCTTCATGATGAAATGGGGTGGCTACACGCCTGAGCAGAGCATGGGCATCCTCCGATCCACAGGATGTGGACAGGAGCGCAGTGGGGGTGAAAAAGAGCGTGATGGAAAGGTCCTCATCCGGCCAAGCACTTTGATAGACTAGGGATCGTGGTGCTCGAGGTCCTTGGCAAGACTACACAGACATCATAAGGCAATCATGTTGCATCAGGACGGCCGCAGTGCATCGCTGACAGCTCCAAATGGACCGGCACAAGAAGAGCTGGTTGCAAGGGTTCTGTCCCAAGACAACAGGGTTCGATCATGCAGGAGCGGTAAGCTGGAAGCGGATGTGGCTTCTACGTCTTTGGAAGAACCTGTCAAGTTGAGGCCATAAAGGAAGCCTTGATGACTCCACCCGAATCCACGGTGCGGCGCTCGTCCGGTTCACTGTGACACTGTGCTCCATGTGTTGAAGCTCTCAGGCTTGGGAGTGCCATGGTCATTTCCTCGGCAACGCATGCTGTGACAGCACAGAGCCACCGGTACCGAGTCATGATGCCTCTCAGCATAAGCTGCCCAAGTGCATCTCATCGCAACGTCCTGTGCGCAGTCAGTCACCCTCAACCGACAAACTCGCGCATTTTCTTGAGCGAGGCGAAGCATGCAGTTGGGGACACGGGTGGTCGGCACGAAAGCGTCGCGTTGCCTTGACTGGAACAGAAAGTACCAGTATGTAGCGCGGGATCTGGGCCCCGTTTGGATTGCGATGCACAGCGACAACGAGTGAGAGAGTGGAGTTTATAATTAGTTTTATCAGCATCTTACACGTTAAAGAAAGCTTCCCAGTTCTCAAGTTTGGGTTCTCGTTCATTTCCGTGCCGCACGCGCTCTCTGACATGGGTCGACCCGGATACCAAAAGTCCACCCAGAACGCTGCGTGGCCACGGCTTTCACCGTCAAAACACATGGTTTCGTGAGCACACATCTCCACCTTGCGGTCCGTTCCTCCATGCAGGGGTATGCCGCTAGGGCTGCAGTGCTCGGTGGGGCTGGTCGGATGTGCCAGGTATATGGTTGAAGCTGGTTTTGAGCTTTTGTTCCGCTTAACTGGTCCGATTCCTGCTCGTTGTCCTGTTTCCGCCTAGAAGTGCGGACCCACAGCAGTGCCGTGCACATCCCCGGCCCAATCAGCAGGTCAATTTCCAAACCAGCCATAAACATAGAGTTCCACAGCAGGTGTTGCGACATGTTGTATGATATTGGTGTTAATATAGCCCATCGTGATTTAGGCTATGGCTAAGGTACGGGCACCTCGCTCGGTGATCCAATCGAGGTTCGGAACGAGACGTGCAACATACGTGGGGACACAGAACACCGCAACCGAACCGCAGGTCGGAGCAGTGCGCAAGGTCCAGATCAGAGCACCGCGCTCGGAGCCGTCATGCTGCCGGCTTGATGACCTGAAAAGGACTGGCTGCCAAAGCAAACTCAATTTCCCATGGCAGGCTCATGATGGGCTCGGCAAAGACAAATATTGGACACTTAGAAGGCGGCGCCGCGCGGGACTTAGGATTTAGACTCTGCAGTGCAGGAGTTTGGAATGAGAAGTCTCACAGACTTCCCGGTCGAGGCGATGGGCGGCATAGTGAAATGCATTCTTCAGTGCGTGTGGCCCGGTTTAGTGAACGAGCGGACCAGCCGGGCATGACATGCGACTGAGGCAGAAGTGCGAAGTGCTGTCCAACCCAGCCGCACCAGCATGCTTACTCCAAGCGAGCTTCTACCTGGAGTCCCACAGATTCAATAAACATGGGCGTTCGCACGGCCAGGCATCTTCGGACGCTCAATCCGCACTTGGAGCATGCCAAGTTCGAGGCGCACTTTGAGACGGAACCGGCAGCCTTCGCTGGTCACCCAGAGTTGAGATTCCATCATGTCACATCGTCTGCAAAGCATGTTTGGGCCTCGCAGTCAAAAGCCTTAGCGATGGCCGGGAGCAAGTTTGCTGCATGTCCCTTTGATAGAGGCTGCTGTAGCACGACGCTTTGTGGCCCCTCTCGTCAGCTCTCGTCTGCCTGACTCTGTCGTGTTTGTCAGGAGGCAGCAACGCAATACTCAGATATACTTAGATGAATCCTTTCCGAGGTCATTCGAGCGTTGCGTTTGTTCGTGGAGACAAGCTGAGCCCCTAAGAAATCGGCCCACTTTTTAGGCCTTGCGGAGCTTGCTGTGAAGCACCTCATCCCGTCGAGGGTCGGGTTCAAAGGTTTCAGCGATGTGATCAACGGCCATCGCTGTATGCCCTTGGTTGCCCAATGATGGGCAGGTTCAATCAAAACATGTGGTTAACCGCCATCACCAAATTCGAAACATGTCATCAGTCATCAGCTGCCATCACCTGATGAGGTGGTCCAAGAAATCTGATCAACCGCCATTGCCTGAAGAGGGGGATGGTTCAAGAAGTGCGATCGACCGCCATCGCGTGACCTCCGTCACCAACTCTGCCTGATTAGTGAAGTTTTTGCAAAACTTGCTTTGAAGGAACTGAAGGGCGGATGTAAGAGATGTGGTCAACCGCCATCGCCTAATGAGGGGAAATGTGATGCATAATGTGGTCAACCACCATCGCATAATTGGGGCGGAAGTAAGAGATGACTTCAACGGGAATCGCCTAATGAGGACGGGCTTAGGGTACATATGATCACTCGCACGTGCTGGCGGGATTAACGACCACATGGACGACTCCGAGAAGCCTCGTACTGTGGCCTGCCAGGATTTGTGGCGGTGTGAGCATCGCCCTTCCAAAAAATATTGCCTCCGGCGTTTGAACGCACCACCTTTGAAATAGTTCCGCCCGCGTACTGGCGAGATTTGGAATCCAGGCGGGCGAGCACGATGAGCCTCGGAGTCTGTTCTTGTTTGCGCTTGACGGCAACACCCCCAATTTGGTTCCCGGATTTGGAGGACCGCACGGACGAGCTCGAGACTCCTAAGACACGAACATGGCAATGGCTCGACTGCAAACACGCACTCGGGGCCCGGGGCGCAACCTTTCTCACACATACAGCACAGGACTGCAGGGCCTTCAACGGCTTCGGTGCTGAACGACATGTGGAGGTGTGCTTTAACACAAAAGCCCCTTGGAACTTCACTGTCGTCAGCGGCCTTTGCCTACATCTCCAAGCCGCGCGCTTTGCTGCTGCAGCCGAAGGTCTTTGGCCGCTTCCGTATCATTCAAGGACCAGGAGCCTTCAGCCATGACACGACTAAGCCCTCCTCCGTTGTGGTACCACTTCGTCAAGCCGTCTCCGAGCATGTGACAACCAGGCACCCAACGATTTCGTCTAGTAGCCCTTGGCGAAGCACTCCGACATCGATCGCGATCTTCCTGTCGGTTGGCAAAGTCTCCGAGTTCACGGCATCGTAGCTTGTTCCGGCATCCGTGACCAAGACGTGCTGCCATGAAACCCCTGATATCTTCCGTCGGAAAGCTCGAACGAGGGACATGAGCACCTCACAACTCACTTGGAGCTGACAGCCTCCAATGCACACCGGGGCATCGCCTTCCAAGACATCGGGGTTGGCTAGGAGCACCATTGTGCCACTCTCATTGGCACCGTTCGGCATGGCACCATAGGCAGCATCGCTCACGGACAACACAACAACCCTGCAAGGAGCAACCCGGATTCCGGACCTTGAGGATCAACGACCACGGTGTTCACCCAAGAAATACCAGGGGCGACAGCGAGCCATGCGCCAACTACTGTACTAACTTTTGGCTGCCAACTACCAACTCCTAAGCTTAGCCAGGTGCAGATGCTTGGGTAAGTCTTCGGGAGCCAACAGCTCTGATCCAGAATCTGTCTCGGTAAACCTGACACGCATAATACGTATCCGTATAATACATTGCAACACTATTTAGCAGTCAAGTGTTATGGCTGCTATGTGCGGGCCTGTTTTACTCGTGATGCATTGCATTTGCCGGGCTGGGCACACAAGACGGAAAGGCGAAGATTAGGCTTAGGTGCTTTTGGGGACTCTGCCTTTGTCGTGAAAAGAAGCGCAGCTGCAGTCTGCACTCCTCGGAGTGACTCGGACCAAGGCCACGAATCAGGGCAACTCCCAAGTTTCCTCCTTCGGATTTGGTACCGCTGACATGTCATAGCCCACAAGTGGTGCCTTGGTGGCTTGATGTCTCATCCAAACTGCCAGGTGGCACCAATGCGCATGGTGTCTTCTGGGGTATGAATGTCAGCATCAAGGAGGACATCCACCATTGTTCACGAGTTGGTACACACGCACACACAGAGAAACACATGTCGCATCAAAAAGCTGTTGCACGCTGTCTTCGTCTCAAATTGACTCATGTCTGTCAGATGCCTGTTTTTGAGAGTGCGATTGACGTGATTCATCAGCATGCTGGCATGGAGTCCTCAGAAGACTTTTGCATGTCCAGGATGTGGAGAAAGTTTGGATGAAAAAGCTGCTGTCAAGACCACCCCCTGAAGTCCGACCGATGGGTTCGCCACCTGTGTACGGACAGTTCTTCAATATTGAGAACAAGCTGTCTCATGACTAAAGGCCTTGACTTCGACAAATGGGAAGCCGATTTCCCAGACACGCGAATGGTTCGAAAAGGGGCCAAGTCTTGAACTGAGTCCCGAGTGTATCCCAGCTCAGCCATTTCACTCTGCTGTCTAAGCAGTCCAGTTTCGCACAAGGTTCAGCCTCAGCATGGGCCCAGACGAAGGCAACGAACCCTTGAGGCGATACTTCTTTGTCTTGATGCAGCATTCAGGGATACCTGCGGTGACGCCAGGTGGGACGTGGTCGACGAAAGCCGAGAAATCGAAGTAGACGACATGGAGGCTACTTTTGTGAGGCGCTAAGAGAGGCCCGATCGAGGAAAGCGTCCCGAACAGCTGGACAGCTGCAGTGAATGCTACAGCCGGGAGGGCGGCTTTAATGGGACTCAATGGGCATGGGTAGTGAATGATACAAAGGAGAAAAACATAACGAATCTTGTTTCGGATTGCTTTCTTGGGCTGCTGGACCTCATGGCCAAGGCAATCACGGGAAATTTCAACAACTGGGATGACGAAGAGGCGCGAAGTTCATCCACAGCAGTCATCTTGGCGAAGGAGGTCAATTGGGTCTAGTCTAGCAGTCCTGACATGCCTTGGCGCTTTTTTCCTTTGCAGGCCATCCCCATGGAAGATGGCGAAGTACCTGGGGTCCATCGCATCACCTTGCAGGCCGCAAGAACACGGCCTCGGGCAATCCGCATTGGGGATGAACAAGGGAAGCTTTGAGCTGCAGGTACCAGCCGGTGGGGAACTGCACTTTCACCTTCTCAAGGGTGGAAACGCCAAGCAGATTGTTGGCACCAGCCCTAACCAAAGCAAGCGGAGAGAGTATTCTGAGTTCCGCTCGCTTCCACAAGGTCCTGACGTTGACGAGTGCACTCGGAAGGCCAGGGGGAGTGCTTAGTCCAGAGAGTTTCATGTCATGTGTGCACAGGGTGCCAAGATCATCGGGCCGCAAGAGAATCTAAAGAACAAGTGGGCGGGAACCTTGGTTTCGTAGCATGAATTTCAAGAGAAGTGAGGTCGGGGTTTGCCACCGTCCCTAGAGAGCGCAGGAGTGAACAAATTTACGACCACAGCCATCCAGGTCATCAATGCGCCGGAAGGCAAAGAGGTGCGAATCGAATTTTTCAGCCGAAACGGCCCTGGACTCGGTCAGCGAGGCTTTCGGGATACAGGGTACTGGTAGTGCTACAAACAGGGGTCTGCCCAGGTCGACGATCCATACTTTGGATCCTTTCAAAGGGTGACGCGCTACCCCTGGAGTCTGGTGGTGATGATGAGCCGCATGGTTAAACTTACGAATGCTTCGTGACAGACTTTCCATGCAAGTAGGAGGCCTTGCTTGTCGTCTAAGGTGAGGAAAAACAGAGTCTGACTCTTCGTCGTAGATGCTGAGATCAAAAAGACCTCCGACAAGTGGTGTGCGGCAGGCATGAAGTGTCTTCGCATTCAGCGCACGATTGAGAACGCGAGCCTCCTGCTGCAGCCATAGCTGCTAGTGACCAGCAGAGGCTTGCAAAGATATGATGCAATCAGACTTTTAAACAATTTCTTGGGACAAGGTGCCGGAAGCAACGACTCACTTCTGCTATCAGTACAGTCGAGTGCGACCAAAGACCAGCAGGGTCAGTGAAGCAAGTCTTGAATGAGCCAGCCACTTTCCGGTCTTGCCACGTATGCAACCAAACGTACTTGGGCTTTTTGTAGCTGATGCAAACAAGCTTAGAGGCTTAGAGGTGCAGTCAACAGGCAACACAATGGCTTTTCGTGTTTCTGGCTTACCACTCCCCCTCAGCTTTGATGGTTTGCTACCGTCACTTCTGATTCAGGCTCCGGCGCCAAGGCTAGCCGTTGCTCCTGTCAGGTTTTGGTCTGTGCAGCTTGTTATCCATCACCCTGTTCGCATCTCGTTGTCTTGCCATGTCTGGTGTTTGCTGCGGGAAGCTGTTTTCTGCATAGGCCTGCCATTGCCATCATTCCTTGCAGGGTCCAGGTTTCGAACATGGGAGGAGGAGGTGGCGCCAGTTGCAAGACGGCATCACCCCGAAAAGTTGCACACACGAGCTCCTGTAAAACACTTACACGAGAGCTAGTTGCGAAAGCTCCCTCCGTGGAGGGAAGAGCTTTCGTTTGAGACCCCGCGTTGCTGATCAGCTATAGGGGGTGTGGGGTTGGGGGGGGAGGGGCGGACCACCCAGAAACTGTCTTTCCGTTTTCGAGCCAACCCCCAGGCCATGAGGTGTTTCAGGCATGGGCCTTGCGGGTTCGTTTTCGGGGCTGCACGTGGGACTCCAGGAGAGACGTCTTTTTGGAGAAGCGGGACCCCGATGATGCTTATGATGCCTGGTGCCGGGGTGGGGGCGCCCTCGCGCAGCTTGCCCCCGGTTTGTCAGTTTTCGTCCCCACCAACCCTTGGGGCACAAGTAGTACTGGCTGGGATTTGCCATCCGCCACCCCACATGGAGATTTGAGTTTTCTGGTTTTCGTATTGTCCTGCTTCCCAGTGGTGTTGTCTTGACAACTTTACTGACGCGCCTGGTGCCGAAACAGCATTTGTAAGTCGAAGGACTAGTGGTTAACTTGTCCGATCAAAGCCACGATCGCAACGAAGAGAGAAGTGTGAAACGGGCCTGTTTGTCAGAGCAGAGCAGCCGCACAAGCCATGCACCCTGTGTGCAGATGAATAAATCCGGCTGCATCGGCCGGCAGCAGATCCAATGGCGCCGCCTGTGAAGAAGGATGACGCGAATGGAACATCACAGCGGTCTCGATCAAGGTCGAGATCGTCGCAGTGGTCGCGTGGGAAATCACCACCACCGGAGAAGCAAGCGGAAAAAGACACCGAAACGAAAGATGATGTCCCCAAAACACGGGGCACGCCTCGAGCCAAGGCCCCCGACGATCTTCCTGTTGCTGCCTACAAGGAGAAGATTATTGATCTCCTACTTGAGCATCCGACAATAGTCGTGGTGGGGGAGACAGGATCTGGCAAAACGACGCAGATCCCACAATACCTCTTGGACTCAGAGAAGTTTCATTGCCTCTTCGAGAACAAGCGCGGACTTCGCGTTTGCATCACCCAGCCAAGGCGGGTTGCGGCCGTAGCCATGGCCCGACGCGTTTCGGACGAGCGTGGTACACGACTCGGAGATGTGGTGGGCTACTGCATCCGCTTTGAAGACAAGTCAAGCGCAAGTACACGTCTGAGGTATATGACCGACGGCTGTCTGCTCCGTGAGTGCCTCGGTGATCCCGATCTTGCCAACTATGATGTTGTCATCTTGGATGAGGCACATGAGCGAAGCTTGCACACTGACGTGCTCTTTGCTCTAATGAAGAGAGCTGTGAGCAACAGGGCGGGCCAGCTCAGAATGCTGGTGACATCCGCGACTCTCGACACTGGGGCGTTCTCAGAGTACTTTGCATGCCCCGTGCTGGAAGTCCCTGGGCGCAGTTTCTCGGTTGCTTTGCACTACCACCCGGTGTCCAAGACCCAGCGGGTGGAGGCCGCGGTAAACGTTGCGCTGAATCTGCACGTCCGTGAGGGACCCGGCCACATCCTGGTGTTTCTCACAGGAATGGAGGAATGCGAGCAGGCAGTTGGCTTGGCAAACGCGAAACTGCAAAGCATGGTTGAAAGCGGAAAGCAGGTTGCCGACTGTCTCATTGTACCACTTTATGGAATGATGCAATCCGACGACCAGCGGAACGTGTTTGAAGAGGTTCCAGAGGGATGCCGTAAACTTGTCTTCTCGACGAACATTGCCGAAACGTCCCTGACAGTTGCGGGAGTGGGCTACGTCGTTGACTGCGGATATTGCAAGCAAAAGAACTTCAATCCCAAGACTGGAATGGAGTCTCTACAAGTTACTGAAGTCTCACAGGTCCAGGCCAAACAGCGGGCTGGCAGAGCGGGCCGGACACAGCACGGCAAGTGTTTCAGGCTGTACTCGGAGGAAACCTTTAATCGCAGCCTGCCGAAGGTCACAGTCCCTGAAATCCTGAGGTCGAATCTTGCATCTGTGACCTTGCAGATGAAGGCTATGGGAATTGAAGATGTGGTCCGATTTGACTTTATGGAACCACCAGATCGTGTTCGCTTGGTGAAGTCCCTGAGACTACTCTTTCTCATCGGGGCCCTTGACGAGGATGGTGTCCTCACAGACTTGGGGCGGAGAATGTCGCAGCTGCCTCTTGAGCCTCAGTACGGCCGTGTGTTGCTAGCAGCTGCGGAGAGCGGCTGCGTCTCCGAGGCCCTCACGCTGGTGTCGATGTTGAGTTCCGAGGGCGTGTGGTATCGGCCATCCAAGCACAATGCGGATCAGTGGGAGGAAGCACGAGCGACACAGGAACGATTTCTCCATCATCTTGGTGATCACCTCACCTTGGTTCGGGTTTTCAGCATGTGGGAAGATGAAGGTTGCACCCCAGAGTGGTGCAAAGCCAACTTTCTGCACTTCAGGGCATTGCGCCAGGCCCGTGACATCCGCGGGCAGTTGTGCGACCAGCTGGAGAAGGTCTCGGAGGCAAGGCCTTGCCTTCAAAGGTAGCCCCCAATCTCTGTTCTCTCCTGACACTTGGTTCCATGATGGGCGGTTGTGGGAGCACCCTAGCTATTCCTCTCATCCAGATGCCGCTTCTTTCGAGCTCATCTCATCAAGCTACTCGTACGCCACATCCGTCAGCGCGTGCAGCAGTAAAGTCATAATGTTGTTTGGCATCGTTCGGTGTGCCGATCCTTGCTTGTCCACTCTCCGCCCCGCCCCGCCCAGAGTATGATCCGACCGACCGAACTTTCAGGCAGCACAGAAAGCTCCGCTCGGTCATGGGAAGGGGTACCGGATACGTCGGATGCGGCATGAGGTGACTCCGGCTGGTGGTTGCATGTTGCATGGACAACAGTACGAGAAAATATCCGTGAGTTTCTTCGTTGCCCGTTTCAGACTCGATAGGTCGTCATTGCCACGTCTTTTTGTCTGGACTTCTTCGCTTAGGGGCTCTTGTTTGCGAAGGGATCAATCTGTTCGAGGCGTCTGTGAGGGATGCAGTTCGTGCAGTCCGCAATCGCTACAGAGACCACAGAGACCGTGATCGAGGACGAGGCCAGGCAAAGTGGGAAAGCCGAGCTGCGGTCGCAGCTCCGAACTGCTTGTGGAGTCTGCAGGCGGGCCCAAGAATGGCAACAGCGTCGAACAGGCATGTCTGCAAATTATTTTTTTGTGATTTAGTGCGGGCCTTTTAATCTCCAGGCTTTGCTCGAGTCCTTATGCTGCATCCTCAGCTTGTCAATCGTAAGATTTTGTCTGGAAGCAGCTGTCATCTGCGCACATTAGGTTCGGGCTTCTTCATGCAAACGGCTCGGATGTGTGGAGCTGGAGGAGGATGGTTGATCGTAGGTGCGGTGCAGAGGTCTTGTGTTGGATGTCCTGGTGAGAGATCAAATCGCAAGTTGCCGGGCAGGTGAGAACGTGCTGGTAAAATGCGAAGCTGGCAGCGCCATGGATGGCTCTTGTGCAGAGCCCGACACCGAGCTAAAGTGAGTTCTAGGATGCAGGGTATGTGCATCACCGCAGCATTTGTTGCTTCATAGCAACAGACCAGTATGTGTTCCTTTCGTGGAAGCATACCCCTTGCAATTCACGAGTCGACTTTCGCCGATGAGAGCCGACCGCGCCATCCGCACGGCTTTGCGCTGTGACACCGATCATGACTGCCTTGTACTCATGGTAGATCACGCGGTCGGCTGCTCTGTTCAGGAGGTCTCTGGAGCCGGCGATACAGACGAGATATGGCGTTGGAAAAGGCAGTGTACAGCCATGATGCCGGCCAAGAGAATGTCCGGCTCGCCCGCAGTTGTGTCTGCTTCCAGCGTCCTGTTAGCGTTTGCCAATAGCGTTTCCACCTGCTTCCGTTGACAGTCATTGGCCAACTTCTCCAGCGAAAATGAAGAGTAGCATCGAAAAAGGGAGATGAAAGCTTTACGCATGAGAGTTTAACCTTGGTTCCAGCCTTGCAGATTGGCTCTTTGTGCCGTGGGTCGCGATTCTCTTCTAACTACTGGGAAACCTGGGTACTTTGCCTTTCTCAGTTGGCTTCATCGCCTATTCGTTACTGACGAATATATCGTGCTGGAAGTTCCGCTTGTGGTACTCGTCTTGCATTAACCGGTTAGCAGTGTGCCAAATACTGCCACATGTCTAGGATGACTTGTCCATCGCACAGCATCGAACACGAGTTGTGATTCCGCTTAGGTGGGTGCTGTACACTGACCTGGTCGGAAGCACGGTTGCCAACTGCATGATGCGTTCGACTCTTACCTGTCCTTGCTTGCTTTGCTGCTACTCCCTGGGCGCATTCG